GAAGAATGTGAAATTATTTAATAAAAATTATTATTATTATTATTATTATTATTATTATTATTATTATTATTAGTATTATTATTATCATTATCATTATCATTATCATTATCATTATTATATATATAAAAACGAAGAGATTTATCTTGAATATTATTCGTTTCTTTTTTTTTTCTCTCTCTCTCTCTTTCTTTCAGTTTCAAATACCTCGTTTAGCGATACAAGTATATTGAACGGTTCGAACGTCGAGATTGAACAACAAACTACGAATACCTCTTCCAGCAGTGAAAAGTCCTTCATTCAGCAACGGGTCGAACGATTGTACGGTCCTGGAGCTCTCGCACAGGGTTTCTTCTTTAAACGAAGCGTTACTAAGTTAAACGTTACTGACAATAGTTTCAATAAATTTAGTAATAATAGCGACAACTCGACGGACAACGTTAACACCGAGGAGTCCTTGAAAAATTTGCCAGTCCTTAGACATCTTCGGCCTGAATTCCGTGCTCAATTACCTGTGGTCAGTTCTAGAAAACCTACGGACGGTACCGAACAAGTAATAAAACCATTGCGAAGGTAATTTTAATAAAAAGAAAAAAAAATTATGCTTTTATACGTTTATAATAAATCTTATTTATCATTTATTCTCATTGTAATCAGGATATCGCCAGCTCCACGTAAAACTGAACAACAATCGAAAATTTGTAAAACCTCACACGTCTCGGAAAGTGTTGCGGAATCGTCAAACCAGCACAATAACAGCATCGCTAGTATACCGGATCAACAACCCGCTGCACCGAAGGTAGTGTTACCTGTTTTAGAAACAAGCGCTAGTTCCAGTAACGTGGCAAAACAAATGCAGGAATTAGAGAAAACGACTGAAGAAAAGAACGGACATTATTTTTTGAAAGTGAGTGTTAAACCGTGATGCATTTAGTCTGCTTGGTAAAGCGACATTTGACATTGACATATCAATATTCCCATTTGTTGCCGTTTACTCAGCTTATCTTATCTTATTATCTTTAGCTGTTGAAACAAGAAACGGACAGACTTTTGTCATTAGCTGCGTCAGCGGAAGCCGAGTTAGCCAGTGGCGATCCCGTTGCATTACCCGAAGAAGCAGCCGGTAAATTGAGATCGGCCGCTGGCAAAGCGAGATTATTGGCTTCGCAAAAGATGCAGCAGTTCGAGGGATTGTGTCAAAAAAATATTGTAAGCTATCATTATTCCAAATAGAAACGTCATCTTCAAAATCTTTTTATCCCAATTGAAAATTTCTATCATTTGTGCGTATGTATATTCCTTTTTTTTTTTCTAATTTTCTTTTCTTTTATCTTTTTTATTATACTCATTTTTAGAATCAAGTGCCAGGCGAAGAATTTCCAACTACGAACGAAGACTTGGCTGGCTTTTGGGACATGGTCATGCTGCAAGTAGTTCAAGTTAATGAACTTTTTGATCAAATTGAAAAGTCAAGAAAATCACAATGGCAAGAGGTATGTCCAGTTTATGTCCAATCTAAATCACCGTCCCCTTTGAAATCCCGACATCGACGAAAAAAGTCTATCCCTTTACCGAAGACTCCCTTAGAAAAAAAGTCTATAGATAGTAAATCTAAAAATATCAAGGAATGTGAATCGAATGAATTGAAACCTTCGAGAGCGTGTCATTTTTTGCACAATACGGAAAAGATTTTTAACGATGCTAATATCAACGTTGAATTATATTTATCCAATTATAACGATGAAATATCTAACGTTAAAACGGATACGTCGGAGGATAAATCAATGGCAATGAAACAAAATATTATAATCGTTGAAAAATGTATTCCTGAGTATATCAATCGCGCACGCTTTATCAATTCTAATTTAAAAAGCTTTTACAAGAACGATAAGAACGATTACGTTTATTCTAATACATTTTCTAACGAGGATATCTGTATATCGAATGATCATAAGACAAATATAAAAGAAAATCTTGGACGAAGTTTTAAAGAAGGATTCACAATAACGGACGAGGAAGAATTTAAAGAAATTCATAACGAAGATATATCGGTTCAAACGTCGTTTTTATCTATCGGTGAACCTACGTTTCATATAGAAAGAAGACGACAAAATATATTAGATTTTCCAATGAGAAAACCGTCTTATAGCATATTAAAGCCTAAAATTAAATCTGAAATGTTTAAGTCTGAAAACGATCAAATTAATTGCACGAACACGGAAAAATTAATTAATCGTAAAGTGAAATATTACGAGAGTGATATTAACGACGTTAATATTATAAAAGAAAATCAATCGGGAAACGTAACGTCGGATATTAATTTTTCTTCCAAACCAAATATATCATCCAGTATTAAAAAACAAAATTCTAAAAAGTTTCAATATAGCGTTACTTTCTCCGACGAGATAATACCTGGTAAAATAAAAAAACCATTGCTCTATGATCGTACGTATAATTCCGTTATTTATGAGGATAATCTTGAGGATATTAATGTTTACGATAAATCTGATCGAACTCTATTTAAAGAAAATGAAGTAAATTTAAAATCTGACAAAGAAATCATGAGTATTATCTCTACGGTTGAACGGGATAATAAAGTAGAACTCGTAGAAAATCAAATATCGAATAATTCTAATAATTCTATTTCTATTAATAAAACTAAATCGATAAAATCGTCAATGGAAAATATTAAAGGTACAATTTTAATGCCCGAAATAAAGCAAAAGTCTAAAATAAATTTATCGAAAAAATTAAATAATACACGAACTACTATTAGAAGACCGATAGAGAAATCAAAAGGAATTCGTAAGAACGGTCAGAAAAATTTGCAAAATGATAATAATATTAAAAAGATAGTATCGAATATGTTTAAAAATAAATATAATATAATAACGCCTGATAATAATAATAATAATAATAATAATAATAATAATAATAATAATAATAATAAAAAATAAAAATAATACTAATAATGATAATAATGAGATTGTTAATAATGAAAAAATGTTAAAACCTGGTACATCGATGCGACGTAAATCTTATACGTTTATTTCTACCATAAAAAGTAAAAAAGAACGATCGATGGAAAAAATATATTCGGATGGTAAAAATTCATGTGAAAATACGAAACGCATTGTAAATACATTGAACGATAGAAAGAGAACGGTCAATAAATTTTCTAATCGTTATTTAAACAAATCGAACGATCTAACACGTCCTAAAATAGAAGTATCGTCGTCTAAACAATTCAAATCACGTTTAGGTCATTCACGTAGAAAATTTTCTATCGTCACCGACGTTTGGTCTAATGTAGACTCTTTTACTATCAAAAATAATCCATATGACACAAGTACGAATAATGCTTTAACGAAATCGAATGTAAATGAAAAGGTATATAAAAAAATGCAAATAAAAAAGGAAATCAAAAGAGATGAGGATGAAAATGTTGTCATGGAAGAAAAAAAATATACAAAACCACGACAAAAATCACCGCATGCGATCGTATGGTCACAAAGTGATTCTCAACCTTTCATTCCGTTGTCGCAAGAGACATTGAAACAATTAGGAAAATTGTATAGAATCGGTAAGCATCATCCCATATTCATAACACCTTTAAAAAAGTCTTATGATAACAATAATAATAATAATAATAAATATAATAATAATAATAATAATAATAATAATAATAATAATATTAATAATAATAAGTTAGATAAAGTAAAACAATACGATCAGAAAAGAAAGGAATCATTAAAAATAAACGAATTATTCTCTAACGACACGATAATAAATAATTGCCAGGATAAACGAAGAGGGTGTATCGTTATGGAAAAGGACTATTTTCAACCGAATGATACTGACTTCTCAACAGAATGCGAATTAATATCTTCGAATAATCCAAATCCATGTTTAGCTAGTGGGGACGATGATAAAACTTTGTATTTATTCGATATAAAAAATTTGTCTGATAAACGTAAAGAATTGCAACGATTTGTATCGTCTATCGTAACCTCATTGAATACCAAAGTATCTAATAAAAATATGTCCTCGAAATTATTAATAACCGAGAAACGTAAATCTACGTACGATGTATCTATTAAAAGCGATATTAAAAATAAGTTATCGTTTACGAGGGAATGGGACTGTAATAAATTAATTTATTCACGTTCTATCGCGACATTTTCTTTATATACGTCGAACGACGGAATGACTAAGAGTTTAAAATCTTACGAAACTGATACGGGTCTAGCATTGAAAGCGTGCGATCCAATGGATTCGAATATATCGATAAAATATTTACGAGATAAAGACGAGGAGTTTCATCAAAAAATGAAATTCTTTCTCGAGTCCGATAAATATTTTCCGCTTAATAAAAAGTGCATTGAGATTTGCGACCTTAGTAATATAAATTGCATTGATATCACGGAAAAGAATACATTGAATAATCATAATGCGTTTTTGATCAAGGTAAAACGTGCTTATTCATTCTTTAAGTCTCACAAGATGCTTTGTCAATTGTCATTGTATTTGTACGTATACGGTATCGTTGGTCTTGTCTTAATACTTTTTAATATCAATCCTTACAAGTATTGCCTTTTAGACACGAGACTTCTTTACAATTTGTAACGAGTTTGAATTTATATAATTCTAGCTATATGCGTTCAATGATATGTATACCACGCCCCCCGCCCCTCCATCTTTATCACATTAAATAAATTACTTTCTAAAGGATCGTTTAAACGAGCTTTTAATTACGAACAATAATTTATAATAGAAAATTCTCATGTGCAATTTTGATAACTTATCGAAAATCGAGATCAATCAATAATATCGTCCAAGTTCTTGCTGTCCCTGTTATATTAATCCCACAAAAGAAGAAGAATAATGAAAGAAATTCCATACGAAAAGCAACAAAAGTATGTCCTTGATGTATTATCCATTACTTGTTAATTATCATTAATTTATCCAATTGTAATGAAAATTTTTATATATTTTCTTCTATATATATATATATATATATATATATTTTTTTTTTTTTTTTTTTATTTCTTCTTTTATTTTTTTCAGATTGTGCCAGAGAAAAAGAGCAATGTGTCTCTTTCGCAAAATGGTAATGCTGCCAAACGCCGAATAACGCCAGTTCATAAAATTAAGCCTACTGCGAACAGCGAAGCCAATAAAAAGGCACGAGAGGCAAGGGAACAAGCGAGACGACAAATGATAGAGGAAAGACGTCGAGCGATGCGTTCTAATATACAAAATCAAGATAATTCGGTGAAAATTTTTGCTCCCGAAACGTAACGGCGAACATAATTCATTCGATCCAAGATTCTTTTCTCTCTTTATTTTTTTTTTTTTTTTTTTTTTCTTTTTTTTTTCGTTTTTTTTTCTTTCGCCATTCCCTCCCCTCTCCCAGTATTTTTTCTTTTTTTTTTCTTTTTTTTTTTCTTGGTTTTTCTTTTTTTTTTTTTTTTAATTTTTAATTTTTCGTTTTTACGTATATGATTAAATCATATGAATTATATAAAACTCCCATTGGCACTAGGAATGACAACTTTTAACGTAGCTACATTCCTGTACGATATAACGATTCACAGTAGTAATTATTGCTATTTTATGCACAAGGCATAGCTGAGGAAAAGATTTATGCAATATAGCAACAATTTAATGACAACATTTACAATTGCTTTCCTCGGGAAATAATAATAATGAATAATAATAATAATAAATAATAATAATAATAAATAATAATAATAAATAATAATAATAATAATAATAATAATAAAAAAAGGAAAGGAATCGTGTTATTTAACAAACACAAAAAAAAAAGAAAGAAAAATATAAGTCATGCGATATCTATATATATATATTATACATATATATATATATATATATATATATATATATGTATATTATATATATATATAAATATATACATGTAATCAGTATTTCGAATTATTTATATTAGGATTTATTTAAAAAGTAACATTGAGAATATTCTCGGCGATTAGAATGACGTAAGTGTTACATTATTAAAATCAAAATATATAATTGATTAAAGTCTAATATTGGTATTATAGAATCTAAATGGACATGGACGAGCGAGCTTCTATCTATTGCAATTCGTGATCATTATATTTTCTATTATTTTCGATTAGAGACTGTCGATTTTTTTTATTTTTTTATTATTTTTTTTTATTATTATATATATATATTTTTTTTTTTTTTTTACTTTTTTTTTACTTTTTTTTTTTTTTTTTTTTTTTTTTTTTTTTTTTTTTTTTTTTTTTTTTTTTTTTTCTTAGATTATTCTCATCTAATTCAACTTCTTTCTCGATAATAACAGCGTCATCTCAATTTAATTATGTCGTTCCCATTGCTTTTCTAATTTATAATTTGTAATTGTATTTATATAATATTCTTGTTATATTGTATATTAGTATAAATGTTTCACGATTGACATTTTTCATTTTTTTTTTTTTTTTTTTTTTTTTCTCTCTCAATATTCGATGTCCTTTTTCATTCTTTTTTCTTTCCTTTTTTTTTTCCTCTCTGTCTCAGAAAATCACAAAATACATTAATACGCATATAAAATGTCTTTAGTGAAATGTTAAGCATCTCGGGATGTATCGACGAAAATTTTATGAATTTGTTATTATAATGTTGACGATAATTCATCGATCAATTTGTAAATGTTGATTGCAGAAAAGCAAAGATTATATAGATTAAGTTTTAAGTCAATCCCTCAACGTGATTTTCTACATTTTATTCTATAGATTATTATGATACTTTTGAAACAGACGAATTTAACAATAGTCATGATCGCCTAAAGTTATGTATAATTTAGTTTTCATAAATTTATAAATTTGCATTGCCAAAACGTTCCAATGTTTTATGGCATTGCTTTTCTATATATATATATACATATATATATATATATATATATATGTATGTATGTATGTATCTCTAACGATTATAATTAATTTAATATTTGCATATAAACAATATACTTTAATATAAACATACGTGACACAATTATCGAATATCTCGGGAAATAATAACTAAAATAGGTTTTCTACGAGTATATTACATATGTACTAAACATATGATATATGTACTAAATCTATATATGCTAAAGAAAGTTCTTAAATCGTTTAAATGCCGGAAAGCTAAAAACACATCAATAAGTCAGACGTGAAACATAGTTATGTAATAAATACCGCACGTTAAAATTACGTTATAATTTAGATCTTAAAATGCGGACAGTAATACTAATCATTTAATTAATCAATTAAACGTTTATGATTCAATAATCAGGATAAAGTTTGCGTTATACGACGTATATATATATATGTAATTTCAACAGTTGTTCCAATTGTTAATTATTTATTACGTTTGCCAGATAGTTTCTTTCTTTAACAAGCCGTCAATAAAATAGTAGAGAGAGAGAGAGAGAGAGAGAGAGAGAGAGAGAGAGAGAGAGAGAGAGAGAGAGAGAGAGAGAGAGAGACCTAGTTTACAAGATTGTAAAGAAGAGTAAAAAAAGATTCCTATTACTTCTATACCATTATTAATATATGTAATAATTATTTTTATTATTATTGTACGACTATATAATGCTTTTTTTTTTTCATCGTTTATTGACTATATTTTCTATCGATTTAACGTATAAAAGAATTCATCGATCTTTGAGAAAGACAACATTACATTTTCTATATGTATTCAATATATATATATATATTTTTTTTTTTCTTTTTCTTTTTCTTTTTCATTCAACTGAGATTCTTTTCTCCCAAAATGTATTGTATATTTCGTTAAGATTATTCTTTTTTATGCGGATGTAAGAAAAATGAAAAAAAAAGAAAAAAGAAGAAACGTAATAATACGGCTGATATTTCATTTGCGTTTGAAAATATTTTTCTTGTCGATTATTACAGAAATTATTTTTTACTTATATCACGTAAATGAAAATATATACATGCGAATACAAATGGACCGTTAAAACAATAAGTATTTGTTAATTATATGTATATTGAAAAAGAGAGAGAGAGAGAGAGAGAGAGAGAGAGAGAGAGAGAGAGAGAGAGAGAGACGCAAAGAAAAACATTAGATATAATACCGTTGCATTAATCGCTTACGAAGGACAGATCAATATTGTTCGGCTTTAATTTTTTTTTTTTTTTTTTTTTTAATCGATACGACATTCCGACGCATAGAGAGAATCTTAAAGATCTCTTTTACGATTTAGCTATCGATCGCACAAACGAAGCGATAAAATCAATCGCAGTGTTATACCTAAGAATACTCAAGACGATATAAAGCTACTCTTACGATTATTGACAGAACGATACGCGTATATATATATATAAAAAAAGAAAAAAAAAATAATAATAATAATAATAATAATAATTTTTGCCAATCCCGTTGTTTGCTCGTTTTCGATAATTGTCAATTACATTACCTGGCTATTTTCAGATTTGTATATAAAAAAAAAAAAAAAAAAAAAGAAAAAAAAAGAAAAAAAAAAGAAAACAAAAGCACCAAAAAAAACAAAAAAAAAAAAATGAAAAAAGAAGGAGAAAAGAAAAAAAAAACGGAAGCAAATTTATTCGCGTAATTTATCCCATTGTTGATTCCCCTTGGTGCCTTCGTTATTATATATGTGTATACGTATAATCGACTGACAGCTATTATCTTAAAAGGTATTCACCATATAATTTATAATAACGATATAATATAATAGAATTTATCAGCGAATGCATCGTAAGTAGAACTATTCAAAATGAATTCCTTTTCGATATTTGTCGAAAAATATAGATAAACGAAAAGATAATGAATTATAAAACTTCTGAAATGAAAATTTCGCCTCTCTCGTTTATCGATTTTTTCTAATTATTATTATTATTATTATTATTATTATTATTATTATTATTATTATTATTATTATTATTATTATTATTATTTTCTTTTCTTTTTTTTTTTCTTCTCTCTCTTTTGTCACGTTCGTCTACATTGTTTACTCGTCCCGTTCGTATCGTATTAAGTGAAATTAAAAACGACAATTTTCATTAGAATATATTCAACGTAGCGAGAACGTCGAATTATTATTATTGTTTTTTCCTTTTCTTTTCATCTTTTTTCTTTCTTCGTTTTTTATTTTTCATTTTTTTCTTTTTCTTTTTTTTTTTTTCTTTTTTTTTTTACGAGATTGCATCTCACTCGTAATTGTATATAAGCGTTAGCGTGGAAGAAGATTCATTTTTTTTGTTTTTTTTTTGTTTTGTATGAAATGTGAATATATATATATATTATGGATATGAATGCGTATATGACGTTAATCGAGATTGTATCGCGTAATTTAGTTGAAATAATATTTGTATATTGATCCTACACGATTTGAAATCGTCAAACAACATGTATAACATTTCCTCGATATATTTTACAAACATTGATAATATAGATAATTTACAATTAGTAATTTATATTGAATATAATCGCGCGTTTGTTTCATTTTTTTTCTTCTTCTTTCTTCCTTTTTTTTCTTTTTTTTTTTTTTCCTTTTCTTTTCTTTTCTTTTCTTTGTCGATTAAAATTTTCAAACGCAAATATACAAGGAGATGCCTCGATAGATATCATGTATATAAATCGCGAATAATTTAATATGGCTCGTCGTACATTAACGACTCAATTCGGTGAATTTTTTATTTTTATTTTTTTCATTTCTTTTCTTTCTTTTTTTTGTTTTTTTTCCCTTATTTTTTTCTCCCTCTTTCTTCTTTTCACTTTGTAGTCGTCTTATCCGTCGTAAAAGTCTGATAGGATAAATCGAAGACTACGAAAGTATAATACATACATACATGGATACGTAATCGTAAGAATAATATCAAAAATAATATTTCCAATGTACTTTATATGTTTGTTATTGGCGAGCCAAATTGACAGAAAGGAATGTCGATTGATCGTCGTTTGGCTCATTGTTATTTCGTACGAATAAATACATAACTGCTTTAAGGATCGATCAAATTTGCACTTCTGTCTTTTCGTGCCTTGAATCAATTTCGTAATAATTGCTTGTGTCTTGGCTATAAGATGAAAGATTAACCAGGGGTACGTGATTTTCGTTGCGATCGCTCATAGCAGGCAGTACGGAATTTACGATGATAGTTTTCTTTATATATATATATATATATATGTGTGTATGTATGTATATATATGTATATATATATATATACAAACCTACATCTTTCAACTTCAGGGTCAAAACCGATGCGTAAAAGTAAGAAAAAGAATTGGTCGTATTTATTAAAAATATTGCGCAGAAGTTACCACGAGATAACATTTTCTCGACTCTTATGTCTTTGTAAAATTGTAACACTCGAAATAAATAGACTGTTTAAAACTTATATTATTTTTTAATCGTTATTATTAAATCATATTAATTATTAATTACAATAAGGAATAAAAATAAAAAGATTTAATAAAATAGGAATTGCATGTATCAGTACGCATTTCTTAATTTTTTTATTTCTTAAAATTGTATATAGCTTTCTTGTAAGAGAATAAAAAAAAGTTTTTATATATATATATATATATATATATATATATATATATATATGTATATATATATATCTATGTATATACACTAACTTTATTACAAATCTGTATTATAAATGTTACATATTCTAATGAGACTTCAAATCATCCACCATGTATATAATACTTTAAATGAATATCGTATACAATACACACATTCGTATATCGATTAATATCGAACATTATTTTCGGAAGATATCCTACGAATAAGTACTCGAAATGTTCCTGTAGAAAAAACGAAAGCAATAATAATAATAATTATGCTTTCTATATTTAATGTCAATCACATAACTTGTCATTTGGTCCCATAATAGGTTTTTTTTTCTTTTTTTTTTTCAAATACACGAGGATTCTGAAAAGTAAATTTATCCATTATTTTAAAATTAATTAACAATATGTCAATCGAATCGTTCGATAAATTTTAACATGCATACTATACCTTAATAGAATATCCAAACAAATATCACCATTTTTATTTTTATAATATTTTTAATGACATCTCTTCCTTTTTATTTTATTTTTTTTTTCTTTTTTCTTTTTTTTTTTTAAGCCAAACATATTAGCGTCCTGCCCTCGTTCATCTTATCTTGAACCTTATCACTTGCCGTCGATTTTTCGGCTTGTCCGCTGAGCATAGCCGCCGCAAAAGTTAAGCCAGTACCTATTACGGCACTATAAAAAGCCCAACCTAAAATACGTTGTGCATGGTTATATGAAAAATGTATATATATATATATATATATATATATATATCGATTGAGATTTCATAGGGAAAAAAGAAAAAAAAAAAAAAGAAAAAAGGAAAGCAAAAATATTGTTTCATTGTAATAACCAAGAGTACAATCCCCTAGATGAAAGGCATCAGCTTCTGGACCGCAAATTCTTCGTACCCTTTCAGCACCCCATCCAGCGGGATACAAACTCAATCCGACTAAGTAAAGTATTCCTATCAAATTGTTTAAACATATAAATAATATATTAATACTGAACGTAATAAATTAAATAAAATATTTACCGGCTATTGCTTGTGCTACACCAGCCAGATCGAAGATACTCTTTCTTCCGATACTCTGAATACAGCATCCGATAAGAGCAGCCAATACGGTCATCGTCATCACGGCCAAACCAAAAGATATGAAGAAGAGAGAAGCTTTCCAGAATCCTGGAAAGACTGAGGAATGCGTCGCAAATCCGTCAATGTTGAAATTAGCACAATGCGTTCTTCCATATAATCTTGTGCAACGATTGAAGATTCCAACCGTCGGCACGAACAATTCCGTGCCATTTTCTACAAAATAATGACGGATAAAAGAATATTTTATCTTCACATATATATATATATATTTATATTTTATATATATATATATATATATATATATATATATATATACATGTGTGTATAACTTTTTCTTTTCTTTTTTCATAATAATTAAATTTATAACAATCATAATAATAATAATAATAATAATAATAATAATAATAATAATAATTATAATTATAATAATTTGAAGACAAATATACAATATGTTTATCGAACGAAATTTATTTATTAACTCATATATATTCATTTATTATATGTATATATATATGTACGTATGGATGATTTGTGTTCAAACGAAAGAAAAATTGTCTCGTAGGATATTATTATTATTGTTATTATTATTATTATTATTATTATTATTATTATTATTATTATTATTGACGTAATGGCAGAATCTTACTCGTGTCCTTAATCGTGTGCGGTCCGACGAGCCATTTCGGGGTAAGGAGTGCCGATAAAACGGCCATTAACGCCGCTAAAGACAGAAGCGTCCAGAGGAGACTGCGACCAGTGACTATAACATAGCACATGCTGCCGGCCGAGAATAATATTCCGTTTTATGCCATCCTCTTTGGACGATCTTAGCTTCCTAAGAAAGAAAAAGTATCTTCTTTCTAATTCGTTTCGATGATAAGAATCGTATAAAAAAGAAAAAAAGGAAAAAAAAGGGGAAAAAAAATCCAGGAGAAAAAGGGAATAAAAGAATAAAAGAAAACGGCAAAAATGAATTTCTCTCTTCGGAAAAAAAAAGAAAAGCAAAGTCCAGATTAATCTTTTATTATTTGTTTCATTTTTGAAAAAAAAAGAAAGAAAAAAAAGTCTTTCTTAATATCATTACATACGTAACGTAACATGTCTCGAGTTAATTACCAACGAACGTGAGCGAAGTGTCGGTCACACGTCACTTAGAATTAATGCTGATTTATGAGCAATCCGCTTTATGAGCTATTTTGTCTTTAACCTCTCTCATCCTACTTCACCTCTACAGTCACTTTTTCACTCTCTCTCTTTCTCTCTCTCTCTCTCTCTCTCTCTCTCTCTCTCTCTCTCTCTCTCTCTCTCTCTTTTTTAAAAACGTTTTTTCATTATTTTTATTTTATAACATTCGTCATATTAATTACAAGAAATTACGAAAGCAATTTAGGAGATACTGTTACGTTATATCTCGCTTCTGTTCTGACACCAGTATCAGAAAGGGAAACACAAGTTTTTGTATATATGTATGTATGTATGCACGTATATATGTACATAATATAATTTGATTCGTGAGAGTAGGTACTGAGTTTCGTACGACCGCGTAAGAATAAATACCATTCACATATTATTCTTAGAAAAGCAATGGACCTTCCTCTTTTGCGGTTTCTCGAAACGATAACGATTATATTATAGATCATGTTTTGATCGTTGAATTCGATGAAATTTTTCTTTCTCTCTCTTTCTCTTTTTCATACACACACACACACACGCACACAGTCTCATACACATACATAGATTAATTTATCGTTAATAAAATTTATCTTTTCATATAAGATCTAAATAAGCATTGAGTAGAGAAGAAAGTCGATAAAAAAAAAAATTGATTTACTGTTTACAATCTACGAGAACATTTAATTCAAAAGCAAACAACACAAATGAGATTTTCATTCATACATTTAGAATATTTTACTCTATTCTTTGTCCTTTTTCCTTTTCCTTCCATTTAACCAAAAACCTTTTAACTAATTGATCGTTTCTTACTCTTCTCTCTGAAAACATAAATTACATCCAATTTTTCGACCATTTCGTTCATATCTTAGACGCATGAATTAACTTATCTCTTGTTAACCCTGACATACCAATATACTTACATCATTAAAGAGAAAAATAGAGAAAGTTTATATCTATAGGATATAAGTAGTTATCTCGCAATAGTCTAATGCAATTTGGGTCGTTAACTTTTACTTTTACTATCATTAAATCCTTCATGAGAATTTTCGAAGGTTTACGGTTGGTCTTTATCGAGTACCCTTTCTTAATCCATTCATCTCTTTCTTTCTCTCTCTCTCTCTCTCTCTCTCTCTCTCTCTCTTTTTCCCTTTCAAGATGGATCAAGAATATCGTGACCTCCTTTTTTAACTCCGTCTATAGATATTCTAAAGAGAGTGAAAAAAAGAAAGAAAGAGAGAAAGAGAGAGAGAGAGAGAGAGAGAGAGAGAGAAAGAGAGAAAGAGAGAAAGAGAAAGAAAGAGTCAAAAGTGTGGGCGAAGGTTTCTCAGCAAGTTCGAGCAAGAGCAGCACGTGTTTGTTACTCTGCTAACAGCATTTCTCAAGAAGATACTCTCGCAGCTTTTCTTAGGAGCCGCCGCCGCCGCCGCCGCCGCCGTCGCCGCCGCAAATTTAATCGCCTTCGTGTTCTGCACGTCTCGTGCTCTTAAAGGCAAAAAAAGAGCAAAAGAGAAGAAAAGAAAAGAAAAGAAAAAAAAAAAAAAAAAGAAAACAAAAGAGAAACAACGAAAGGATCCTCTTTGATCCTGAACCGCAATGTGGCAAATCGGTCGCGCTGACGTAGCCATCGGTCGTCTATGTGATCATGGCCTTTTGAAAAGCGAAACGAGAAAGGATTTTTCGTCCCCCCCCACCCTCCACTCTCCACCCTCCCTACCTTCCATTATTTTTCTCATCTCTACGTTAATAATATTCCCTTCCTCGTCATCCATTTATTTGATATCTAACGTATATAAGTAACAAGTAAATGAAATAGATGGATATTTATTTTCCTGTAGTTCTTTTAGATAGACATCATTGACGACGATGTCGTGCACGAAACTCTTTACGCTTACATACGATTATTACGAATTGCGATAGCACGCACGCAATACCCGTATCCCATTTAAAATTCGTTGGAATTCTTTCCGACCGTTTCTTCAAAAAAAAAAAAAAAAAAAAAAGAAAATAAAAAATAAAAAAAAAATAAAAAAATAAAAAAAGAAAAAAAAGAAAAAAAAGAAAAAAAAAATATATATATATAGCTCAGATTCTCGACGTTCGAAAAATGATTAAAGTTAAATGAAATTTATGCGTTAGTTACAATTCATTCCGATTAGCGACTATCATTATGAACAAATGTATCTGTGTGACTATATATATATATATATATATATATATATATATATATATATATATATATATATACATATATGCTAATTAACATTTACAAGAGAAAAAAAGAAATAATAAAAGATAAAAATATACAGATTACATTGAAATTCACAAACCAACATATAGGCGCGCACAGAAGTACATGCACGCGTGCCCGCGTTTGTCTCTGACAAGATGTCTTATACGTCTATACAACGGTTCACCATTTCCAATCAGTTTTCTAAGATCTTTGAGAATTAAACTAATTTATATTCTCCCATTTCACGGGTATTTATCTCTCGAATCCGAGTGTCCTGTCTATGTAATTAACGGACGACGGTCAAATCAACGATCCGTGAGAAAGGAGAAGAAGGCGAGTATAAACGAGCGCTTGATGATGCCAGTAAGCAAACGCGTCGTGCGTTTGTTTGTTCGTTCGTTCGTTCGTTCGTTCGTTGCTTGGTCGAAGGGTTCTTCGTTGTGACCGATGTAGAAAAGGGACTGACGACGATTGGCCCCTGTATCTTTCCCCTTTTATTTTATTCTTTTCTTTTTTTTTTCCTTCCCTTTTTTTTTCTTCTTCTTCTACCATCCGTCTACATCATTACCACGTGCCGCCTCTATCCCGGTATAATAAGTATACGAAAATCAAACTCTTGCGCTTTCAATTTTTTTGATCTATAAAAAATGAAAGAAAAGAGAAAAGAAGAAAAAAGAAAAAGAAATTGTTATAGTAGTAGAAAATTTTTCGTCGTAAAAATTATTCGATAAAATGACGATATTACGAAATTCGTTTCCCTATCGTAATCATAAAATTGCAAGATCACTTTGACTTTCTTCATGATTCGTTTATAAGATAAAAGATATCACTTGTTAATTCGTCTTCTTACGTAGATATTCAAGATTTAAGATTTAAGATTCATCGTTATCGCCGATATAGAAGAATCGCCGAACATTATCGATAACTTCCTTCGCGGAGGAGGAAAATAAAATAAGTATAATCATATTTAAGTCGAATAACGAGAGATCTCTTCGTTACATAATCCTGAAGCAAACGTACAGAGCCCATCTGCAAGGCAGCTGTCCGACAGGTGTTTCTCTCTCTCTCTCTCTCTTCCTCTCTTTTTTCTTTCTCTCTCTCTCTCTCTCTCTCTTGTTCGGTCACTCTTCCTTCGCGAGAGTTACTCTTTCCCTCTTTTTCATCTTTCGTCCTTATCCTTTCCTCCCTCTTTCTCTCCCTCTCTCTCTCTCTCTCTCTCTCTCTCTCTCTCTCTTTCTCTTTCTTTTCCATCCTCTAATATATACACACGTATATGCATGTAAATATGTATGTATATATGTATGTATATATGTATGTATCTACCTGAGAGCCCTTCGGCTCCCATCGGCCAACCGATTTTATACCGAATGATTTATCGCGATTTCAGCCGGTCGCCGTGCGTTCGATTATTATTATTCCTCCTGCTCGTCGTCGTTCCTCCCGTCGAGCGCACTCTTCGCACTCTGAACGTTGAAAACGAGCGTACATTTTATAACTCTTTCCTTCGAAGAAAAATATCGACCTGGAAGGAAAGGATCGACTTGTATATCTACGTTCATACATACATACATACATACATAAATATATGTACATATATGTATATATATATATATGTGTGTGTGTGTGTGTGTGTGTGTGTGTGTGTGTGTGTGTGTGGTATGTGTAGGTAATATGTGTATACTTTGATACCTGCTGCGTTCGTCCCTACTACTCCGATTAACCGTAAATATACTCTGGCATTAATGCCATTGTCGTCGATTAGATTACTTTACAGCCCCTTTCAAGTAACCACCCGTATGGAAGAGGATATTCTTTTCTTGGTGTACAACATGCAGGTGTACCAACGCAAAAAGTTTTACGATCCTTTCGTTATTATTTATTTTCCGCTATTGATTTATCAAAACGTTAAGACGTGAAATGATATATATATATATATATATATATATATATATATATATATATCATGTATGTGCATGTGTGTGTGTGTGTGTAACAATTTCTTTCAGGGATGATTTCTTACAAATTAATGTCATTTGTCAGTCGGACGATGAAAGAAACAATTTTATCATTTTTCTTTTCTCTCTCTCTCTCTCTCTCTCTTTCTCTCTCTCTTTCTCTCTCTCTCTCTCTCTCTCTCTCTCTTCTTTTCCTCTTTCTTTTTCTCTTTTTTGTTTCTTCTTTTTTATTTTTTCTCTCCGAAGGTTTACCTTCGTTATTTACAATGAAAATAGATCTAAAAATAGGTCGAATGTAAGAATGAAAAGGAAAGGGAAAAGAGAAAAGAAAAAAATGAAAAAGGAAAACAAAAGGAAGGAGATAAGGAAAGAGACAAAGTGCAAAAAGAGAAAGAGATTATCCAGATAAAGTTGATTGTCATTTATATCGAGAAATTCATGCACTTGATAAAACATTACTACGATGTACACATGTAC